TTGAGCCCAGGAGTTGGAGGTTGCTGTGAGCTGTAATGCCACGGCACTCTACCCAGGGGGACAGCTTGAGGCTCTGTCTCAAAAAAAAAGAAAATAAGAGCCAGGAAAGCACATGTGGCTGAGACAGATGAAATGACAGGTTGTGAGAATGGGGGTGTAGGCAGGGGCAGTTGCTGTCGGGCTCCTCCGACGGGGTAGGACGGAGTCCTTCAGGTCGGCCTGTACCGTGCTGTCCTCGTGCACGGGAGAGCCAGCACCTTTTCCTTTACTTGGTACTGCTTGGATGACAACTGCATTTTGTTCCCAGTACCCCCATGCCGTGGGAAAGAACACCCTCCTAATTGCTGGGCTCCAGGCCAGAAACAATGCCCGCGTCATCTTCAGTGGCTCCCTCGACTTCTTCAGCGACGCCTTCTTCAACTCAGCAGTGCAGAAGGCCACGCCGGGCTCCCAGAGGTAGCTGCCAGGTGGCCCAGCAACAGTGGTCTGGCTGGTGTGGTCTGTGTATATGGGGAGGAAGGAGGCTTGTAGCTAAAAGTGTTTGTTGGACACTAAGCATCTTCAGGTACTGTCAAATTATTTGAAGACTTGACTTTGTTACTGTATAGCTACTCTTGGCGCTGTCAACTTTTTAAGCTAGTAAAAACTTAGAGACCCCTAATCTCCACCATTCCTTTTAGAAAATGGTGTGTTGTGTAGGTGACCCCCAGAGCAACGCCATCCATATCTTTTCATCTTTCCTGTGTCCCTTCAACCATGGGTCCTGAGGAGCATGGGGCTGTATAGGCAGAACCTTGCTAGTGAGTCCGTCTGGTGGCTGCGAGTGGTCTTGCCCACCAGGCACCACTGGAAAGGAATCAGCTCTGCTGCCCTAGCATCTCCCCTTTCCCTCCCGCAGGTATTCCCAGACAGGCAACTTCGAGCTAGCTGTGGCCCTCTCCCGCTGGGTGTTCAAGGAGGAGGGTGTCCTCCGTGTGGGGCCTGTGTCCCATCATCGGGTGGGCGAGACAGCCCCTCCCAATGCCTACACTGTCACTGACCTAGTGGTAAGAGCTGCTCGGGATGGGAGGGCCTGGAGGGTTTGGCCAAGCTGATAGAGCTCAGCTCAGAAGCATTTATTGAGTACTTTGTGTTCAGCCTAGAGGGCGTAAATAAAGATGTTAACCTCTGCATCCAGGAGTCAGTTTAGGCATAGAGCCTGTGTCAAGTAGAAGAGTGAGATGAGACCTCTTTTGAAGAGGTGTGGGTTTTGCTGTTTGGGGACAGCAGTGGGAGGGACTTTGCTGATTAATTCTGCCCAAGAAGTTGGATTTATAAGAGAAGCTGTGTTTCAGTTAGGTCTTAAGTGCCCATTAGGTGGTTTGGGTCCAGAGTTTGATGGGCAGTGAATACCATGCAAAGGAATCAGGTCTGTGAAGAGGTAGCGATGCTGAGCCAGAGGCATTGACCTTGCTGAGGAGTGTGGGCCATCACTGTGAATTCAGGGCTGAGCGGCAAGGGCTTTTGCAGGTTGTCATGTTCATGGGTGGGAAGTGAGCGTAGCTCTGCCTACAGGTGGTAGTGTCCCTCCAGTCTCCGGCACCTCTGCCTAACCAGCCTTTTATCTCAGGAGTATAGCATCGTGATTGAGCAGCTCTCAAATGGCAGATGGGTCCCCTTTGATGGTGATGACATCCAGCTGGAGTTTGTGCGCATCGATCCTTTTGTGAGGACCTTCTTGAAGAAGAAAGGTAAGGGTAGTTCCTGCAAGACAGCCTGTGCCCCTCATTTCTTCATAGGAGACCCCGCCTGATTATTTGTGTTGGTTCTTCCCCAGGCGGCAAGTACAGTGTTCAGTTCAAGTTGCCCGACGTGTATGGTGTGTTCCAGTTTAAGGTGGATTACAACCGGCTAGGCTACACACACCTGTACTCTTCCACTCAGGTAAGCACGTGTGGCAGCTACTGCTGTCAGCCAGCTGTGCCCTGCTTGGGCTTCCCCGTGGAAGACAGATGACACCTGTGGCGTCTCTGTCTTGTCACAGGTGTCAGTGAGGCCACTCCAGCACACGCAGTATGAGCGCTTCATTCCCTCGGCCTACCCCTACTACGCCAGTGCCTTCTCCATGATGTTGGGGCTTCTCATCTTCAGTGTCGTCTTCTTACACATGAAGGAGAAGGAGAAATCTGACTGAGGGGCCAGAGCCCCGGACTCCTTGCAGCATGGCGGTGGGGGATTTCATTAGAGTTGGTGGTTTGGTTTTGTTTTTTAAAGCCGTGGAAAAATGGTACCGCCCCACCTCCCAGGGAGAGAGAGCACTGAGTTCCATAGGGTGGGGGCAGGGAGTAATTTTCATTTAAGTTCTTCCACCTTGACTTGCTAAGTGGTGTTTTTTCATATGTACAGTCTCATTTCTAAACTAAAGAGAAATGTTCTCAAACTTCATCTGGCTCCTGTCGTGCTTTGCTCATAGTGCTATGTGGTACTAACTGGATACAGAGTTATAAGTGGCTTCTTTGAATTTTGCCCAAGACTGAGCTGTCATTAATATGGAATGGTAGTGCTTCCTAACTGCTCCTGGAGGGGTAAATTGTTGATACACTGAGGGGTGGAGAATCACGGAAATGGGAAATCTAGAATAAACTGCGCTGGACTAAGAGAATTATAGAATTGCTTGGTTGAAAAGAATGTTAACTATATGTGCACCTTTCTTTGGGCAACATCTGTGTTCCTAAAAGAAATGTAAAATTAAATGTGAAATCTCCTTCCCAGTGCTGGTACCCACATGGTCTCATCTTCGGGGTATAGTCAGGAATATCTGACTATCTCTTACAGACAGATATTCAGTTAAAGGCACAGACATATTCTGTGGTTGTAAATTTGCATTTAATTCACAATTCCTGTAAGAAATGCTAGTCAAGCGGGAACTGAACAAGGTCAAACCCTGTACTGTTGATTTCACATGAGTGTCGCTAGATTAATTCAGTAGCTGGAGCAGCTCTGTGGAAATGCTTTCTCAAAAACACGCTGGTCCAGAATGCCCCCTCCCAGGCTTCAGATAGTTTCTACACTGAAACCTGAATATGTTGGCCTGTGCAAATGTCTGCCCAGGTGGCAAATGTGGACTGATGCCACGCTGCCACTTTCAAATGAGCCACAGGCCATTCCTGGTGTTAGGGGTAAAAGTCACAGCCAAGCTCTGCCACTAATAGCCACTCCCTTAGCCTGGATTCTCTGCATAATGGATGCAGGCCTAACTTTCTTCAGCCTAGCCTCACTTAAAGGACCTGCTAAGTCATTGATTTTGCAGAGGACTGTGAGGACAGGGGTTCGAGGGAGGGCTTACTAGTCAGCAGTTACACCTGAGGGTATTTCCTTGCCTGGTACAGAGAATGCATTCCTTTTTCTCTGTACACAGGGATGATCCACATTATTTTTAGCATCGATTTACAAAGAGCCCTCGTGATCAGCATTTTTTTTAGAATTCTGCCATCTGAATTCATCTAGACCAGGGGATGGCAAACTGGCCTATAGGCTGGTCTGGCTGTCCCCTGTCTCTGTATGGCCTGCAAGCTAAAAATGGTTTGTGTATTTTTAGATGGTTGAAAAAAAATAGAAGAGTATTTAGTGACACATGAAAATAAAATTTCAGTGTCCATAAATAAAGCTCTACGGGAACGCAGCCATGCTTGTTCATTTACATATTTAAGGCTACTTTTGTGCTACAATGACAGAATTCAGTGGTTGTAACAACTTAAAGGTATCTACTATCCAACCCTCTAAAGAAAGCTGGCCAATTTCTTCATTTGACAGATAAAAAGCCACACAGGTTATAGGATTTGTCCCACATCACACAGCTAGAGTTAGGAGCTGGTCTGTGAACTCTGACTCACGTTGTCCTTCTCTTTGCCAAACCTGAGGCCTTCTCTGGTTGACCAGCCCTCCATACCGTCCTGTCTCCTGACTCCCACCCTCTTACACCTCAGAGACCCTCAGTGTTCACAGACTATCACAACACAGGTGCTGGTAAGTTCTTTAGTAATTCACCACTCCAGACAGAGCCATCAAGGGGCTGCCCTCCATGAGCAGAGGAGGAGGGCTGCCTGGCAGAGCGCTTCCCACTCTAGGTTGGCTAGAAAGAGCATCTTCATTTTTGTTTCCACACAACTCTTCTCTGTGAGCCTGTCGGCCAACAAAGTAACAGCTGATTGTTGCAGGAGCCAGCCAATCATCCTGTCTAACTTCAGATTCTTCAGGGCTAGAATCTGTTCACCCCAGAGGCTGAGATGAAGCACATTTGCAGCTACTCGGGCAGAAGGTCTCTGCAACAGGAAGGGAAGGGGAAGCCTAGAACATCTGTAACAAGGTCTCAGGCCCACAAGCTGCTTCTAGAGCCTTCCCTTCTCTGGCCTCAGCCCAGTTCTTTCTCCACCCTGTCTCTCCTCCTGATACTCTTCCCTCTGCTGACTCTGTTCATGCTCCAGGCTTTGCCATGTACAAGGGGCAGTCTGCACTGTTGGAATGGCCTTCTCCCGGGTGGAAGGCCCATGTGGCTCTTATGCATAGCTCTGTCTGGTTCCTTGTACAGGGGTGAGGTAAGGTGTCTCATCATTGCATAACTGGTTGTGGTCATTTTTCTAACCTTTACTGAACACTTACTGTTATCAAGATGGCAGGCCACCAAGAGGGAGGTGAGCAGCAAGGGGCAGAATGTGGCTGGGATACAGGTCTGGCTCAGCGCTTTGTGCTCAGCAAGCCACCTGAGCCAGAACTGCCATTCCAATTACAGCTTCAGACAGATCTGCCTTAATACTCCTTTGTGTTAATATTACAATGGTCAGATCTGCTTTCGGGAGATGTTTTCCCATCTCCTGATTAGATCTCAGCTGTTACCACAAACTACATCTCCATTAAACATTTCTCAAAAATGCATCCTTCTTTATGAGTAACTTTTTAAGCAATTAAAAAAGCCAAGAGTTGAACTGCTAGGCCCCTGACTAATGGTTGAGTGGCTAACTACTCTGGTCCTATTGATACTAGAATCTGTTTTGTGTTCTGTATTGATTGAGGAGCTCTGTCTCTGTCACTGTAGTGCTGGCCCAAACCCAACCTTCACTCTGGAATGTGAACTAAGGTCTCTACCCACACAATTTCTGTGACGCCTGGGAACATCTCACCTTGCTGGGCTCTCGCTGGAGCAGTGACTTCACCAGCTGTCTCATGTCTCGAGGAACCGACTCAGGCAGTGCAGGAAGTTGAGCCTCTTGGTAACTGCGGCTTTCAAGGTGGGCCTTGCCTTGGCCATAAAAGGGATTGGCAAGCCCAAAGATTTCGTAGGCGATGGCTCCAACTGCCCAGGCGTCAGCCTTGCTGTAGTCAATCACTGCCCTGGGGCCAGGATGGGCCGTGGACACCTGCTTGGAAAGCAATGGGTGAGATGCCCATGCTGCTGGCATGTCTCACCTTTCACGCTCTTGCATGCCATCTAACTCATGAGCTGATCTGAACTCTGTCCCAAGGAACCCAGAATTTGAATGAGTTGTGGCTCAGACTGCCTAGTTTACGCTGACAGGACTCACATCTGGGAATATTAGGGAAATCCAGAGTAAAGCAAAGTGGCAAGGAAGGAGCCTGTGCCAAAATATGGGTCAGAAAAGGTGGAGGTGTTGAGTAAATAATGAGGTATCAAGTCTTGTTCTCTCATTTAGTGGAAACATGGTGGAAGAGCTGCAGATGGTGATAACTCCCCGCGAGGACTCACCTCAGGAGCCATCAGGCAGCCGTTTCCACCCCGATCCACATACCAGCTGGTGAAGGGCAACTGCAGGCCGATGCTCTCGTCAGCCAGGCAGCAGCCAAAATCTGTGATCACCAGCCAGGGGCAGCCATCTGGGAAGGAGCAGGCAGAGGTGAGCAACCAATTTGCCCTTCTCCTTCCCTCTGAGAGGCCTTGCTATGTCCCTACTGAAGCCCCCAGCAGGACATGGGTTAGCGGGGCTAGCAGGGACTCAGTGTTGGCCCCAGAGGACAGACCAACAAGGCAAGAGAGCTGAACAGGAGGCCTAGGTATGCAAATATGCAGATGCCTCCTGTTAATAAAAGCCTGCAAAGTCCCCAGGCAAAGGACCAGATAAAAGCTTGGCTCAATCTAAATAATTTTCTAGTAACTGGAGCTGTCCCCCAAACCAAGCTAGTGCTTAGGTCAAATGATCTCTTGAGGCCCTCACATGTCAAGAATCTTTGAGTTGAATTTGAAATGCCATATCCAAACCTAAAAAAGAGGTGCATTTGTAAAAGGATTCACGGGATTCCTTTAAAAAGGCAATTCCTGTAGTCATTTAATTGCACATTTTTTTTTTTTTTGGCCAGAGCTGGGTTTGAACCTACCACCTCCAGCATATGAGGCCAGCACCCTACTCCTTTGAGTCACAGGTGTTGCCCGTAATTGCACATTTAATTCTTTTAAATCTTCTAGTTCAAAATGTATCAGATGTGTCTGAATCTCCTTTAAAATATCCCCCCCAGGTAAGTGGCAAGTGGCCTTTCGACTTATACTTGAATGCTTCCAATAATGGGGAACTCATCCTTTTCAGAGGCAGCTAAACTTACATTTGGACAGCTTTCACTGTTTGAAAATTATTTTTTATGAGCTTAAAGTCTACCTCTCTTTTACTTTATTCATGAAAACTCCCAGCACTGAGGTTCTTGTTCTGTAAGTGGACAACAAAAGGAACTTGGGTACTGTCTCTCCACAGAGGACTAAAGCCTCCATTCTGAAGGACAGGTCGCTCATCTCTGTGTACAGAGCTACATAAAGACACAGTGACTTAGAGAGGACATAAAAACCAAAGAGGACCTGAAGGGTCCTAAATACTTCTGACCTACCCCTAATGCTCCCTGGAGAGCTCTGAGGGTCTAGCAAGCACCTACCTGCGTCCAGCTCCACGAGAATGTTGTCAGATTTTAAGTCTCTGTGTGCAATGCCCTGTTGGACCAGATGATCCACTCCTTCCAGTAACTGTAGGGTCATCAAGGTGGCCAGGTGTGGGCTGGGGGTGTTCTCACGAAGGTACTGGCGCAGGGTACAGGGATAGCTGGTAGAGAGGGGAAAGGGTGAAGTTGGCTATCATGCATCAATGACCCCCAGCTCCTTATTCTCCATCAAGTTTAGGCTTTTCCTCTTCCCCTTCCTGGAGCTTTTTCATTTATCTTTTTTTTTTTTTTTTTGTAGCTTTTCTTTCCCCACCCACCCACCATCCTGAAATTAGGAAATAAGAGCTGGGGCTCCTCATGGTCAATTCAAAGTAACCGTGAAAATCTTATTTCCTTAAAACATCCATTATAGCAAAGTTAGGTGGTACAGAGGGTGAGGAAAAGATATTTTTTCTGTTTTTTTTTTTACAGAGTCTCATTTTATTGCCCTCAGTAGAGTGCTGTAGCGTCACAGCTCACAGCAACACCCAACTCCTGGGCTTAGGTGATTCTCTTGCCTCAGCCTTCCGAGTAGCTGGGACTACAGGAACCCACCACAACACCCAGCTATTTTTTTGTTGCAGTTTGGCAGAGGCCAGGTTCGAATCCACCACCCGTGGTAGATGGGGCACAGGTGCTGCCCCAAAAAGATCTTTTTTTGTGTTAAAAACAGGTAAGGCAAGCCATAGAGAAAGGTTAATAGTTAAAATGGACCAAAAATACTGGGTGAAAAGTATGTTCTGAATGAAGGTGAGATTTTATTCTCATAAAAAATTATCTTAATGGGAAAGTGCCTGCCAGGACAGATGTACTCCCTGCATGGCCTTATTCTCCCAAAGGTGGAAGCCCTCAAGGTGCACATGGAGGGTGGGTACCAGCTCCCCTCAGGAGATGAACCAGCTCCAAGTCCTGCCTTGTCCCTGCCACTTACTTCTTCATGACGAGGAACAGTGTCCGGCCATGGCCCAGACCTTCTGGGTGGAGACGTGGAGGCAGCACATCAGGGTAGTCGACCAGGGCCCCTGGCAGCAGCGGCACAGATGAGGTGAAGGCGCGGAGAACCCGGATGATGTTGGGGTGAGGGGCCAACTGCTTGGGACCTCCCTTGGGTTTTCTATTCAGCCAAGTGGGACAAATATGAGGTCAGTATCAGATATAATAGCTGGAAAGATAATCATCTCAGGCCACAAAAAACAATAGTATTTATTTGTTCACTTATCTATCAGGTATTTGTCATGTGCTATGTGCCAGGTCCTGGTGTTGGGGAACGTATTTGATGACCACCCCCTCCAAATCCATCTTTCAATCTGTCTGCTCATCCATCCATCCCATGTGGCAGAACATAAGAATGAAGAAGCCCTGAGATCAGAGGGCCTGGGTTTGAATTCAAGGTCTGCTGCTGTGAGTCCTTGGCTAAGTTACAGTAGTTCCCCTTAATCTGCAGATTTCCTTTCCATGGTTTCAGTTACCCATGGCCTAAAAATAGGTGAATGAAGTACAGTAAGACACACACACACACACACATATTTTTTTTGGAGACGAGGTCTCTCTATGTGACGCAGGCTGGTCTCGAACTCCTGTGCTCAAGCAAATCTGCCTCAGCCTTCTGAGTAGCTGGGACTACAGGAATGTGCCACTGTGCCTGGCTTAAGATACTGTGAGAGAGAGGACATATTCATCTAACTCTTATTACAGTGTACAGTTATAACTGTTCTATTTTATTATTAGTTATTGCTATTAATCTTTTACTATGCCTAATGTATAAACTAAACATTCTTACAGATATATATGAATAGGAAAAAAGTAGCACATTGAGGGTTAAATTATCTGTGGTTCCAGGCATCCACTGGGGGGCCTGTACCACATTCCCTTCGGGATTACGAGGAGACTACTGTATTTTCTGGGTTCAGTCTCAAGTACAAAAGGGGACTAAGGTAGCAACAAGCTGCATAAGGTTGATAATATAAATGTACCCAGAACCATGTTTAGCACAGAGCAAGCTCTCAGCGAACATTAGCTGTTGCTATGATTCATTCAGCCAATGTTTACTGTTTTTACACTGAGTACCAGACCTTGAATCATAATGGTGTGCTGTGAAGCTATGGCAGAGAACAAGGCAGAGTCCCTATCCTCATGGGTTTGTAATCAAATAGGACAGAGGTACATTCATTGAATAATTACTTTAGCTCCCTAATAGCAAGGACCATGCCTGAATTTTCTCCATGATTCCAGCTTCTAGAGTAATAGTTAGCATGGAATATAAGCTTAATGAATCTTTGTTGAGTGAATGGACCCAGATGTAGTTAGCAGTGGTGGTATCTCTTTTTGGAGCCCCCATCCCGGCCCTGCTGAGTCACAGCAGCTGTATTTGGGATGGTTGGCTCTGACAGCCCAGCTCAACCAGAGCTGACTGGAGCAAGGGTGGTCACTACCTCAAGGGTAATGAGCCTACAGACACATCTGCAATCTGGATGGTTGGAGTAAAAAGGGAAGGGAAGAGAGGGAGATTCTCTCTCTGGGAGTGTGAGTGAAGAGCCTGCCAGTCAGCAGCGGAACTGAAGGTGAAAAGATGCTGAGAGACAGACTGGGCCACGGGAGGCGAAGGGGGAGCAGGCAGCAGACAGGAGGACAGCAGGACAGTGATATGGGGAACAAATAAGGCTGCTGACGGTGCAGCAAAGGGAATGGAGCAGAGGCAATGCTGAGAGAGCAGGACACCGGCCCTGTCCCCAGAGCTGCCATGGTCCGACCTTTGCGGGCCTAGTCCATATGTGTCCTTGTACTCTCCTTGTCTTGAGTCCACCTGAGTGGGTCCCTGTCCTACGTGATCAAAGGAGTCATAGCATTGTTTCCATACCTGGGTCACTGGACCAACTAAGATTGTAGCACAGGCTGTCAAGGCCCCAAAAGGTGTCCTGGGAGCCAAGAGGCACAGTATGTGGCTGCACTGAGGAGAAATGTGAGGTCAGGGGGTGTTTAGACCAAGACCTAAAACGTGCAGGGAGGGCGACCCAAGTATAGCAACTGCATGTTGGGAGATGGCCATGGCTGAGCCTGGTGCATTTGGGGAGGGTGGCATGGATGCATGGTGGGGTGTAGGTGCCAATGGGAAAGGATGAGAAATGAGGGGGAGAAGCAGGTCACAAAAGGCCCTAGAAGGCACCCAGAGTGCTCTCAGGGAAGAGTTTCTCCTGAGAAACATCAGCACTTGAGGGAGTGTACCCCTGCCACTTCCATCCAGTGATTCGACTGACATTTATCAAGCTGTGGGGAACAGAGCTAACAAACATGCACAGGACAGCTGGACAAAGGTGTGTATGACTCAAGACCAGATAGTGAGGTACGGTGGCACATGCCTGTAACCCCAGCACTCTGGGAGGTCAAAGAGGGTGGATCGCTTGAGCTCAGATGTTCAAGACTAGCCTGGGCAAGACCAAGACCCATCCCTAAAAATAGCTGTGTATAAGGCTGAGGCAAGAAGATTATTTGAGCCCAGGAGTTTGAGGTTGCTGTGAGCTATGATGCCACAGCACTCTACTGAGGACAACAAAGTGAGACTTTGTCTCAAAAAAAGAAAAAAAAAGACCAGATAGTGAGCAATGCTATGAAAACAACTAAAGCAGGGCAAAGGATCAGAGTGACAAGGATTATATCAGATGGGATTGGGTAGGTGACATCACAGTGCTCCTAGCTATATGACCCTAACAGCAGGCTGACACACCACAGAAGGAGCCCCTGGAGGGTAAGGCTGGCCCCAAAGCAGCTGGCATTCAGGTGTTCGCTTTTCTCTACATAGGGCTAAGGAGAATAAGATGGCGGTAGGAAGCCCACCTGAGCAGCGGCTGCCATTGGCCTGCAGGGACTCTCAGTCATGCTGGAGCCTTCCAACCCCTGGAAATGCCCTTAAGTTCCTACTTCTGTCTTCCTGCTTCTGACAGAACTAAGATGTATAAATCAGTCCTCTAGTGAATCACCAGAAATGCAGCAGTCTCATCTCTTCCTGGTGGGGTACCAATATCACGGTGAGCACAAGCCAGAGCATCCATGTTCTCTTCTCTTCCTGTGGGAGGGGCCTTACTAAGCTGCAGTGTTGCTGCTGTCCACCTGTGCGTCCCTCTGCTGAGAACACACCTTTCCCTGCTTATTTGCCTGGGTAATGCTATTTATCCTTCAAAAGGTAACACAAAACGCTCCCGTGAGAAGCCTGAGTGGGGCTCCTTTGGCACCTGAGCATACTCTACTCTAGCACTTAGAACAGAGTGGGCCCTCTGCTCCTGGCTTGCTGGGCTCTGCTGCCACATAGAGAGCTCCCAGGGAGCAAACCACCTCTTTTTTCCCCTTAAATCTCTTGGCACTATGTAGTGTACTGAAACTGCTAGTGGAATGGGTGTTCCCTCCTGGGGGACAGAGTTCGGTTTGTACTGACACGTGGTGCTCCACCTGTGTAATGCTTAGGAGGAGTCTGAGAACTCCCATCAATTTTCTGGTATTCTGAATTGGGAGTTTGGGGATGGCCTTCCTTTCCCCTCCTCCAGTGTGAGTCACCCTCATGCATCATCATTAGGGGTCAGATGATCTGCAATCTTTCCCAACCTAAATTATCCACTAACTGAAAATCCACCATTAATGACGTTGTTCAGTAAGTGTTTATTACCTACTGTGTCCTGTCAGACATTGTGCTGAGTGCTGGGGACACAAATGATGATTTGCTCTCAAAGACCTCACAGAAGGGGGCACTTACCTATCCGTAACTGCGCCATACTCCCCGGCCAAGGCCACTCGGCTAGCTGGGACTAGCTCCTGGCTCATTGTGCTGAAGATGGCTTCGCTAGAAGAGCCCGCCTGGAACACATCCACAAAGAACCCAGGTTACACAGACCTGAGTGGAATGGCAAGTTCCAAGTCCTGCCTGTAATGTGAACCAGGACAGCTACTGCCTAGAATGAGCTCTGACCTTTGAGATAAGATGACCTTTTTCACTCCAGTGGCAAGCCAAAAGATGTAGAAGTGCCATCTCTGCCAACTCAAAGGACACTTCCCATACCTGAAACTCTTGGCAGCTTTGCCCAGGGCAGGAGGAGACACCAAGGCAATCAGGACAGGGGACGCTTCTTCCTGCCTTCAATGCATCTGGTCCCCACAGGCTTGAAACTGACTGAGTCACTAAGACTCCCATCAGCAGATAGGCCAGAACCTGACAACTCCACCCTAGAAAGTTGTGCTGAATCACAGGACAGCCTTTTCCAGCCCCCCAAATAAACAAACAAAAACCAGTGAAGGGGGAAAGAACCTTATTTTCCTCATTTTAATATGAACGGCTCTCAGCATCTATGAAACCTGTTAAGATCCTATAAGGATCAATCATCTTTTAGCTTTTGTGAATGCAACAGCTGTCATGTCTCAACCAGGCCAGGTGTTTTTTAGAGACAGGGTCTCACTTTGTTACCCTTGGTAGAGGGCTGTGGTGTCATAACTCACAGCAACCTCAAACTCTTGGGCTCAAGAGATCCTTGCCTCACCCTCCTGAGTAGCTGGGACTACAGGTGCTCACCACATGCCTGGCTAATTTTAGAGATGGGGTCTTGCTTTTGCTAAGGCTAGTCTTAAACTCCTGAGCTCAGGCAATCCATCTACCTCGGCCTCCCAGAGTGCTAAGATTATAGGCATGAGCCACCGCACCTGGCCTCAGGTTTTAAAATTTTTTATAGAGATGGGATCTTGCTGTGTTGCCCAGAATAGTCTCAAACTTCTGGCCTCAAGCAATCCTTCCACCTTGGCCTCCCAAAGTGCTGGGATTGCAGGTGTGAGCCACTGCACTCAGCCTCCAGTGTAAGTTCTGATGCTAAGACTGGATGTTTCACAAAGAACTTGGCCACTTCTTAAGTTATTAAACCAGCTTGGAGTATAATAGTCTAATAACCTTCACTCCCCAAATCAAAATAAGAAACTGTATTTTCTTGTATCAGGCATGAACTGCTGGGCTGTTTTTATCTCACCTTTGGGTGGGTGCATTAAGACAGAACATCAGGTCTTAATGAATTTTCTTTCTTTCTTTTTTTTTTTTAAGACAGAGTTCACTATGTTGCCCTCAGTAGAGTGCACAGCTCACAGCAACCTCAAACTCTTGGGTTCAAGCGATTCTCTTGCCTCAGCCTCCCAAGTAGCTGGGACTACAGGCACCCATCACAACGTCTGGCTATTTTTCTGTTGCAGTTGTCATTGTTGCTTAGCTGGCCCAGAACCTACCAGTTTCAGTGTATGTGGCTGGCATTGCAACCGCTGTGCTATGGGCACCAAGCCTTAATGAATTTTCTGAACCCATCTAGTAATGGCAAGGTAAAGAAATTACTCTAAATAGATAGAAATCTTTGTTTGGGGGAGGAATACTCTTCAGGTTCCCAAAGCCTTGAGTCATTCTAAGAATTGAGAACAGGAAGTTAACAAGCAAGGCTTTGATCTGGGGGTGTGCATGAAGGGTGAGTGGAAAGGAAAGGAGTGTGGCTCCTCTTCTCTGGCCAGGAAAGCCACAGAGAGGAGGGATGCTGTAAGGGCAGAGCCGAAATGAACTCACTTCTCTGGTAGAGTCAGCATTGCCTAGGAGTCTGTTGGAAAGGCAGACTCTCAGGCCTCATCTCTGACCTGCTGAATCTGCGGCTGCCTTTGAAGCTGATCCCCAAGTGATGTGTGGGCATATAACAATTTGAGACATTCTGCTTTAGATTTTTGAATAAGAGGGGCAGAAAGCCTAGTTTTATAGGCAACTTTCCCATGGAGAGTGTGTCTTTTCCTATCTACTTCCTGGAAAGAGTCTCTGTCAGCTCTACTAAGCTAGGCATTTTGAGAACCGCCTACTGTAAGAATGAAAGGTCCCATCCTTACCGAGATGTTCCACATCATCTTGATGGCTAAGGGGAAGGCAGGGGCCCCTGCAGCTTGAGTCTCCTTTCTTCCTTGTGGGATGATACCTGGTTCTTTCCCTGGAAGAAGCTCCAAGGTCTTTGCCATCTCCTGGTTCTGGGGCAATGCAGGCATGGTGGCTTCATACACAGCAGCACTGCAGCCCTTGCCAATGGATTGCCCTATAAGATACTCCTCCAGCTGGAAGCCCTGCCAGCGTCTAGTATCCAATGGGTTAGGCACCAGCTTGTTTTTCTGGGTAAAAATCTCCTGTAAGGAAAAAAGAATGTGCTGTGAGCTGGGGAGCCCATGAAGGCCCTGAAACATGGGAAGAGGGGAGAGGCATGGTCCTCACTGGCAAGACCAAAGACCAATGAAACACAAGCTAACTGGGTTTCACTGCTCATCCTGAGGTCAGGCCACCCTACCTTTCCCATTATTCAGAATAATTTCTCTCAAACTCTGTTGCTTTGCTGTGATCACAGCACTGTAGCTAAGAGCTCAGTGACCTGAGTTCTGCAGCCAGCACACACTCCTTTGCTGCCTTCACTCTCCAGCACAACTCTGGAGGCATCTGATCGTGGAGACTGCTCTTTCTGCAAAGATCTCAGGTGGTAACTACTAGAAGCATGTGATCAACAATGACCTCAGGGGTTTTCAGGCAAGGTGGGTAAGGTGGGGAGTCTCCCAGAGAGTCACTAAGTCCTATCTTCCTGCCTCTGCCTCTGAAGGGCCTGTTCTATTTAGGAAGGACATGAACATAGACTTTGGACAGGGAAAGAGGGAGGGCAGGTGCCATGCACTGTGTTGCACTATACTGGGAAAAAAGCCATGTGCCCAAAATCTGGGTACCCCCCACTTCAGGTAGTGGTGAAATCATGTCTCCAGTCACCCAGGCTCTGTCTTCCCCCTCCAGTGGTCTGATCTGCTACCTCCTCCTTTCCAACTCCATGGCTTGTCACCCAGGAGCACAGCACAGCATACCTCCCTTGGCAGCAGCCTACTGGGCACTGTCCCTAGACTCCCCCACTCTCTCACCGTCCCTTTACTGCTTCTGAACCACATTAAACCACAATGCTTTCATGTGTCACTCTGCTGTCCACAACACTGCCCAGGAGGCTACTCGATGCCTTGTCCTGGTGCTTTGTTAGGTTGGTCTGGGTGCTGAGTGTGTTTATCCTCAGGACACCTGTCTGAACCGCTGCTCACCCGCCTTCCCCAAGGTCCTGCTCTGCTGCTCCTCCCCACTCATGCATTGAGATGACTCCAGCTCCTCCTTCCTCTGGAACCAGCCCTGCTAACCCAGCCCCAACAAGTCTCCTTCTGGAGGATTCCTAAAGCATTTAATATCTATAAGCAAATATACTTTGTAATAGAATTTTGAACTTCTTTAAAAAATGAAAGCCTATCTCTCCTGGTCAATTAGTTTATAAACTCCATGATGCAGAAATAGTATTTTACAGAGTAATACCATGTAAACCATAGTTTCCCAGGGGGGAGGGGATATATATATATATATATATTTACTTTGGCATCTCACTCTGTTGCCCAGGCTAAAGTACAGTGGCATGACCTCAGCCCATTGAAGCCTTGCTTGAACTCCTGGCTTCAGGTGATCCTCCTGCTTCAGCCTCCCAAAATGCTAAGAATATATACATGAGCCAGAATGAGTGTTTCTTTTTTAACTTTTTATTTTGAAATAGCCACAGACTCACAGGAGTTGCAAAAAAATAATACATGGTGTCCTCTATACTCTTCATCCAAAGTTCCCCCAAAGGTACAGTATCAAAACAGCAAAGTGGCATTGGTACACTGTTAGCTCTAGACCCTCCTCAGTTGTCATTATGTTTTTAAACCTGCATTCATTTGTGTGTGTGTAGTCCAATGCAATTTTAGCCCATGTGCAGATTTGTGTAATCACCACAATCAAGATACAGAATGTTCCACTGCTGAATGCTATAATTTGGATGTTTGCTCCCCCAAATTGCATGTTGAAATTTGATCTCTAGTGTTGGAGGTGGGGCCTAGTAGGGAGTGTTTGGGTCATGGAGGCAAATCCTTCATGAATGGTTTGGTGGCACCCTGACAGTGATGAGAGTGTGAATGGTAAGCTTAGGAGGGTCAATTGCCCCAGTTAAAAAAAAAAAAAACAAACAACTTTTAAATTTTAAACAGAACTTGATAAATTTCCCATCTTTGCTTTCTGCCAGTTAAGCTGTGGCAAATGACAAGGGCAGAGGCTGGGGATTAGGCCAGAAGTCACCTGTCACCCCAAACTGGACAGAGCTCAAACAATGGTGACAAGGAACAAGAACTGGGCTGGAAACCAGGAAACCTGGGAGACACTGCTTGGTGCTAACAGCTGTGTCCTTGAGCAAATCACTTCACCTCCCACCACCTTAGCCCTAACTTATAAAACACAGGACCTGTAGTAAGTGGTCAAACCCCAGGAAAAAGAGTGACCTTGGCTAGGCATGTGATGTAATCACAGGTCTGTAATCTTAGAGCTTTGGAAAGTGCTCCACTTTGGGATAGGAGCATCACTTGAGGCCAGGAGTTTGAGACCAGCCTGGGGAATACAGTAAAAACCCATTTCTACAGCTGTGTTTTTTTTTTTTAAAGACTGGCCTCCTGGAAGAAGTAATTCTACCAGGAAACAGGCTTTAGACGTGAACTTCAACACTGGCTCTTCCTTGAGTCTCCAGCCTGACAGTCGACCCCACAGATTTTATACCTGCCGGTTTCCATAGTGAGCCAAGTCCTTAGAATAAATCTCTTTCTCTAGACACATCTTATTCTGTTTGGAGAACCCCAACTAATATGACTTTGGTGGAGCAAAAACAGAAGTCTCTGTACTACTTTAAGCATTAAAAATGCCTGAGAACGCCTACGTATCCAGTCACTGGGGGTGACTATACACAGGTTAACTAAAATGTAAGATTGGATGTTTTTTCTTGCTAGTCATAGTTTTTACTGTGATCTCTGCTATTTTACTGACTCGTCGTTTGGCTAAACTGCAGAGGCAAGCTGGCTCAGTGGTTAAGAGCACAGGTTTCGGAGAGTCAGAATTTGCACACTGTCCTTTACCACCTGTGTGACTTCCAGCACGTCGCTTCACCTCTCAGAGGTCGCTTCTTCCTCCATACATAGGGGATGACAACTACCTCAAGGGATAGGAGTATAACGATTTTGTTGTTAAATTTTAGAAAATTTCCACAAAGCCATTTGCTAGGAAATATCTGGAACTATAATTAGCAACGTATCTTCTGATCTAAAACATGCTATTTGAGGAAGGGAAACCATAAAACAAATGCGACGTGCTGGATTTATATCAGATTACCAGTCACCGTGAAATAAACGAACCACAACAGACCTTAACCCTCGCCCCGCCCCACGCAGACGAAGCCCCGCCCCCAGACCCGGCTCAGGACCCGCCCCATTCAGCCCCGCCCTGCCCGCGGCGGGGCCCAGCGACGGTCTCCGCTTACCTGGATCTCCTGACAGGCCGAGGCCGCCCGCCGGCCCTCCGCTTGCTTCTCCTCGATGAGGCCCAGCCCCAGCCCAAAGGCCAGAAAGACGGCCCGGCCGCACGGGCCCGCGCCGCCCCGGGCCCGCATCACGAACTGCCGCTGCAGCCGTGCCGCCAGTCCTGCCACCGACTGGCGAAAGAAGCGGTAGCGGTCGGGGAGCCCGAGCCCGACTCTGCGCGGCTCCGCGCCGGGACCTACGGCCCAGCCCGGGCGCTCTCCGCGGCCCCAGCCCGCCGCTGGGCCAGGCCGCCCCCAGCCGTAGACCGGGCCAGGCTTGGCCGTGAGGCGCAGCAGCAGCGCCCGACCCAGCTGCAGGCCCCGGCCCAGCGCCTGCCGCACCGCCATGGTGGCGCCGCGGCCGCCACTAGCGTCCCATACGCCGGTGAAAACAAACTTCGGGGGCGATGTCTCTGCGCAGGCGCAGGCGCTGATGGGCGGGGACGGAGTCCGGGGGCGTTTCCCCAGCTCGGCGCGCGAGGGCGCTGTGCGCGCACTTGCGCCGCGTGTAGTTTCTTGTTCCTTTGTACTTTGGACCTGGATGAAGGCTTTGCGTGTTTAGGCAGGTCTTGAACGTGAACATCACTGGGCAAAATCGAGAAATTGAGAGGGGAAGCTAATATTTATTGTCAGTCTCCGTGCCAGATCCTTTACATCTTTTATTTAACATTCGCATCAAGGAGAATGAGAATGTCATTTTTATAGGTAAAACCGAGGCATGAAAAGGGCAGTGTTTGCAGTCACGCGCAGGTAAGTATCAGAGCAGAGGTGGCACTCCACGTTGCCCTGGCTGTTGACTCCTTGTGGTCCTCAACGCCCTTAGGCTCCTCTCTGCATGTTCACAATCCCTGGACTTATTGAAACCCCAAGACATCTCACCCAGAGGCCACAATTTAGGCATTAGTGAGTTGGGGGTCTCAAGATATCGAGCAACTTGTCCAGAGTCACACAGATTGTTAATGGCAGAGCCCTGCTAACCACATCTGCCTTTAGGAAGGGCCAATAAATGGATTCATGCTAACTCTTTTTTAAAATGGGAATTTTCCAATATACACAAAAAATAGAATGGTATAATATAGTGGATGCTGTCATCCGGCTTCAATAATTATCAACAGATGGCCGTTATTTTTTCCACCTAAACTGTCCTACCTCCTGCTCCATTGCTTTAAAGCAAATCCTAGACATATTACTTCCTTTGTAAATACTTCAGTATCTATTTCTAAGAGATAAACACTATTTTTAAAAACAAAAACATTATTACCACCTCTAAAAGATTAACATGAACCATGCAATATCATTTAATTTCCAGTTAGTATTCAGATATCCCTATTGTTCTGTTTCACAGTTACTCAAATTGGAATCCAAACAAACTCTATATGATTTATTTGGTCAGTGAGTTATTTTTTAACAAGGGACTAAATCATGCCTGAGCTGAAGAAGTGTATTTTGTGGAACTTCCACGTCCATTTTTCAAATGTTTCCTGCGATCAATTAGTGACACCTCCATTCCTTACCTGAAGGCTGGCTGGGGAGAAGAGGCCCTGGAAGACATGGAAAACTTTTCTGTAAGTGTGGCGGTGTGTCTCTGTGTGTGCTGGATGAGCTTCAGGGCAAGGAGACACTTTTTCTGATCTGAGACCCATCTCAGCACTGCTTGAGTAGAATGGCACAGACTAACATTATTTCAGGGCTCATTAGCATCCTTCAGCACGGTTCTAGTTCCATGCTGTGGACTGCAGAATCAGAATAGGAAGCTGCATATAAAAATAGGGCACCTGCATTCGGGTCCACCTTTGAATTGGTGAATGTGAAGAGTCCTGTCCCCCAGGCTTGTTTGGCTATGGGTTGGATCCCTGGCCAGAAGACGGGTAGACAGCTGTTTCAGCAAAGTGTATGCGTTTGTGTGTATGTATATGTTGTGATCTCTTTTAGGATCTTCCTTAGGGGAGGAATTGCTGGATTTTTGTGACATCCAGTCATTTACTTGGGAGAGACAAAAATAGATGAATTTTCAATTTATATACAGAGGTACGTGAAAATCAGATGTTATCTTTGATTGTTTTAATTCATCTCAGAGAATTTTAAATTACAAAGTGAAAAGCGCCATTGAAATAATCATTTGGAGAATGAGCAGGGATAGAAGTTGGTTGAAACCTCATGCTCCAGTGACCATGGCTCACCAGTGAAAACTTAGCTTGGGTAGAGGTCTCACTTGAAGTTTAAATGTACTCATCTGCTGTATTTCATCATCATTAAAGCTCTTCTCTTTAATGCTTACGGAGAAGGAACAAGAGGTTCTCTGAGATACTCAATGTTTCAACTACAAGGATTTTCTTTAATCTTACAGAACATAACTTTCTTTTCTTTTGAGACAGTCTTATTTTGTACCCCCAGTAGAGTGCTGTGGCATCATAGCTCACAGCAACAGCAAACTCTTGGGCTCAAGTGATTCTCTGGCCAGTAGCTGGACTACCAACACCCGCCACAATGCCTGGTTATTTGTTGTTGTTGTTTTTGCAATTGTCATTGTTGTTTAGCGGGCCCGGGCTGGGTTTGAACACACTAGCCTCGGTGTATGTGGCTGGCACCCTAACCATGGAGCTATGGGTGCCGAGCCTTCTTTTCTTTTTTCTTTTTAGACAGGTTTCTCACTCTGATATCTAGGCTGGAGTGCAGTGGCATCATCATAGCTCACAGCAACTTCCTACTGCTGGGCTGGAGCAATCATCCTTTCTCAGCCTCCCTAGTAGCTGAGACTATAGGCACATGGCACTATGCCTTACTGATTTTATTTTTAAATTTTTGGTAGTAATGCTGCTGCCCAGGTTGATTTTTTTTGTTTGTTTTTTTTGGTGACAGAGTCTTACTCTGTTGCTCGGGATAGAGTGCCGTGATGTTATAGCTCACAGCACCCTCAAACTCTTGGGCTCAAATGATCCTCTTGCCTCAGCCTCCTGAGTAGCTGGAACCACCAGTGCCTGCCACAGTATCTGGCTATTTTTAGAGACAGGGTCTTGCTCCAGCTCAGGCTGGTCTTGAACTCCTGAGTTCAGGCAATCCACTCACCTCAGCCTCTGAGAGTGTTAGCATTATAGGTGTGAGCCATGGTGGCTGGGCTCTCAAATTGTTTTTGAACTCCTGGGTTCAAGGATCCTCCTGTCTTGGCCTCCCAAAGTGCTAGGATTACAGGTGTGACTCACTGTGCTGGACCAGGATCATAATCTTTTACCATGAGGCTTATGAGGGCTGCACAGCTTGTAAAACACATTTGTTAAGGGGCATTGTATTGTCTGTTTT